TTTATTTTATTTTATTTTTATACCCTCTACCTTGTGAAGTGCCAGTAGTTCTAAGTGCAGCATATCCTGTTTTTTTGCTAAGCATAAGTATTATGAGTCTTAACTAATCAGGCACTTTGGCCTTTGGCAATGTATGTATATAAAGCCTTGACCCTTCCCTCCTGCTCATCTGAAATTGGGTAATTTCCTAAGAAGTGTGCTTAAACAGTAAATACAAAGCATCTATTTCAGTCAGTGAGGTTCATAAAGAAGAACAAAAAAGGTGTAAATAAGAAGTTCTCTTTCCTTTCCTGTGACTGTAGCCTACCCTGGAGGATGAGGTAGCGGTTTGAGGATTTCAGCACTAAGTTGAACATGATCTCTCCTCTTCTCCCGCAGGTACTCCTTTGTATGCTGCTCACTTCCGCCCCGGGCAGTTTGTGGATGTTACTGCAAAAACGTAGGTGCATGAGGATTTATTGTGTCTTAAATCTCTCTCAAAGAGACTGGCTGATTTTTTTTTTCCCTCCCTCTAATTTGGTTTGAACCCGTGGTTCACGAAAGCTGAAATACAATTGCAGTGGTAGTGACAGGAAATTGACGTCCGTTCACTCATTAGGTCAAAAATATCAAATTACATTTCTTGATGAGGCTTACTCTTGGTTTTGTACAAGGCAGGTAGACTATTAATTCTGTTAAGGCTGAGGTTCTGTCTCTCATGTGCCCATGATTAGCATGGACAAAGAGATTTTTAATGCAGTATCTCTAGTATGTAAAAATGGAGAATAAATGCTGAAATGTATCAGTTCCCAAAAAGACTGCTTAATTTTAATTTGGTGAAGAGATGGGAAGAGAGATGTGGACTGAAAGGATAGCGAAAAGCTAGTGAATATATTTAGCAGTACAACAGAGCTGTCAAATTAATTATTTTTTTGTTGTTGTTTTTGCTTTCTTTTGTTTTTTATTTTGTTTTTTTGTTTTCTCTCACATTCCAGCTCATGTCCTTGCCAGCAGTGGCTAAAGATCTTTTACTCTAATGTGGGAGGGATAATTTCCTCTCAGACCACTGCAAATGCCAAATTAGAGCTCAAGTAATAGTGTTCAAAAGAAAAACTGGCATCTTTTGGCAAAGACTGGTCCTGACTCATGTTGTCTATCTGTGATTTCCCCTGACCAAGAGAACTCCTGTCTGCGTGTTCCAGTGTTGTGATACAAAGATAATATTTGCCATTACATGTTTTATTTTCTCTGCAATGGAGATAGTACCCAGCTGCAGTTGTCTCACATGTAGGGTGTAATGCCTATAAATGTCCAATACTGTTCACAGGATTTTGTATATATGGGGAAACCAGCCATATCAACAGAGCTGAGTATGCAATTCTAGTAGAACTACACCTCACTGCATTTGTGAGTGCACTCTGTTGAGAAAATTAAGGAATTGACTTGAATTAGTATTTTTTCTATGTCAGACTTCCTTATTAAATACTTAGACCCGGCATATTACTCGTTCTGCTTCTAAACTGCATTCAGTGAGCATCCTGTAAGAGACCATAGCTTGTTTGCAAAATAAAGCACATGGTCATTAGGAATGCATTTAATGGAGATTATGTATCAGTCTTTGTTAATGCAGAAAAGCTTTGTTTTTTTAGGAGTTTTTCCAAGAACTAGGGAAGGGATTTTTTAGCAGTGTAGAAGATACTGGTCAACAGCTACAGGGTACTGATTTGTATCTTGCTTTTAGTATTTGAAAATACTAGCAAGCTAAAAATAGACTGGGATCTTGGTCCTGTTCAGTGAATCCATCCTAGACTGAAATTCAGTATTTCTGATATATCTTCTCCAGATATTTGTATTACCCCATTTCAGAAATTGGCTGTGTGTATGTACTGCTAATTTGGTAGCATATTTCTTGTAATCATTCTGTAAAGGTGAAGGAAACATTCTTTAACTAAAGAGAAAGGTGAAATGGGTTTTCTGTCAGTGTGGTTCTCTAATCATTCCAGTCTTTCTATATAAAAAAAAATTTAACCTTTTTCTGTGGTTCACTCACATTCTGATTTCTACTTCTTTGGAATGCTTCATTTATCATATTCCCTTACTTCTTGGACAAGAATTAAGTTACATTACTACATTTCAGTTTTTCTTCTGTTCTTTTACTTTTTTCCAAACAATTTGATCCAGCTAAGTCCCATCCAGCTTGGGGGAGGACTTGGAGGAAGGACCTGGATCTTTGTGATTCAAACCATTATGGACTTGAAAAACAGTAATTCCTAAAAACATGCTGTCAAGTAAAGTTTTTAGAAATATATTTACATAAACATGTATTTTACATTTTTGAGTTTTACAGTAATTTTGCTTTGATTGAAGGAAATGCCAGAGTGTACAATATTAGAAATCATATGGATGAAAATAGCAGTGCTGTTGATAATAGCCTGATGAATTGTAATGAGTCCTAAAAAAAGAAAGAAAGAAAATTAGTGTTGCCTCAATGGGGAGATAATACAGTGGAATATAAAGGATATTTTAATTTTTTACCAACTTTTAATTGTTCAGATGATGATACAAAAGGTACTTTTTTGCATGCTTCCTTCTGTCAAAATGTAAATAAAAAATAACTCCTTATAAATAAGCAAACTTCAAACTTCATTTCAGAAGTCTTGGGTTGGCCTCTTCATTTGGTTACCAAAATGTAGGGGAGTTTTTTATGACTGTCTTCTTTTAATCTTCCCTACAAATGTTTTTGTCAAAGTCTTTTGAAGTGTTTTGATTCATTTAATACCTCTGTAAAGAAAAACACTTTCACAGGAATGAGAGGGTTCAGTTAAAGATTTATGTATGCACTTTGGTTTTTTTGAAATCTCATAATTGTTCAGTATGGTATGAGTGGCTTTTAGAGCATGGAGAGTAGGCAGTATGTCTGCATGCTGTCACTCTTCTATAGTGCTGAAATATTTTCCTCAGTACTTATTTTTGGCAATTTAAAAGCTCAATCCTTAAGTTTAGTCCTGCTGAGCTTGGAGCTAAAGCGCACACCATCCAGAAGCACTTCTCTCATAGGCTGCAGCTCTGTGACCCCGCCTTGGGTACTGCATCCAACTCTGTGGTCCCTTCTAGGGATGGAGCACCTCCCCTGTGAGGAAAGGCTAAGGGATTTGGGATTGTTCAGCCTAGAGAAGAGAAGGCTTCAGGGTGTCAGGGCGACCTAATTGCAGCCTTCCAGTACCTGAAGGGAGCCTGTAAGAAAGGTGGAGAAAGGCTATTCAAAAAAGCATGTGGTGACAGGACAAATGGCTTCAAAGTGACAGTAAGTTTAGATTAGATATTAGGAAGAAATTCTTTTCTGTGAGGGTGGTAAGGAACATCAGAAATGTTGTCACTCTCAAGAAAAGGCTGACAGTAGTTTTGTTGGAAATGGGCTAGAGTTAAGTGGTGAGTCTGAAGTGTTTATGGTTTATTTAAGTTTTGCTCGATTAACGGTGTAATCTGAGCCTGAATATGAACTCTCCATTTGCCCCAAGTTATTTAAGTAGCTGGAATACTTTTCCTCTGCAGCATCAAAATAATGCTCTTTTAAATTAACTACATTTGAAGAGTTACTAGCAAAATAAATTGTTGCTTAATTACAGTGGTTTATTCCAGTAGCTTTCTAAATGAAAGTTCTCTCATTAGGTACTGGCATTTTACTTGTATCAAACCTGGAAAATTAGGCTTTGTACAAAATTAGATGGTTGACCTCAGCACCTGCTTTCCTGCAGGTGAGTCCAGAACAACTGTAATTAAACTCTATTTTTAGCTCTATAGAAAGATTATTTCCCTTTTATTTAACTCCTGCGTGTCTTAATTTTTCATATCATCATTGCTCCCTGTGATTAATTTCTGGAAATCAGGTAATGCTTTGCTCAGTGAACCAAGTAAACTAAGTCACTGAATTGCATCTGTTGAAGAGCAGGGATATTGTATATTTCATATCTAGTTTTATAAGGCTCATGCATGTAGAGTTTTCTGTTCAGATATGCTGTCTAATGTTGCTGTTAAAACATTAAAAATGTATAGCCCTTGATTCAAAGCAAGACAACACGTAGAAGGTGTCTTAGCATGATATCACAACAGGATAAGTAGGATGTCAAGCATTGTACTTCAGTGTAGGTTGTCATATTTCACATACTGTAGCAAGCTTGATTCTTTCTGAGTAGATTTGAGTTATTTTGCTAAATTAATATATAGTACTGGATTATCATCCTGCTTTGACAGACCTTAATGTTTTTTGAAAATTTCGACTGGCTTAGATTGAGTTTCAGTAATTATTTTTCTTTTATTGGTGATACTTGCTGAATGTATTCACACCTAGTAATTTTTAAGAAGGGCAAAGGGAGCAATTAAACAATTTGAAATTAATGATTTTAATAGCTGACATCTGATGTCTGTTCAGAAATCAACAAGAGTATAATCTTATATGATATTCATTATTTTTGTCAGAATAAAAAAAAATCAAGAAAACTGTACAATACACTGTTTAAACTCTTCTTTGATTTTCCATATGTCTTGAACAGCATGCATCTTAAGTTCTCTTCCTTGTTTATATAAGATAGATATTAGTTTCAAAAGCATGTTGCATTTCATGCAGTTGGATGAATGTAAAATCAACATATAATGTATCAAAATATGTTAAAATACAGATAAATTGTGGGTCATGGAAAATGTACTCATCATTTTATTTGCATATAATGAAGAAATCTGCCACTTGTCTGAAAACAAATCTTATTTACATCAACTTAGGCTGGAAAAACACTGTTTTTTAGGATGCTTGAAGTATATTGGCTGAGCTACTAACTGCCTAGTTGACCAGTTCTTAATTTTATTATAAACTGAATGCTAGTAGTTCCTTTCTTTATTTTAAACTTTACATTCAGTTTAGATAATCTTATTCTGTTCTTACTCTGGTTCCAGCTTTATTTCATATAGAGCATGAATTAAATAAGAAATATACACTGTAATTGTTTGTCTTCTTGACATGTGTTTAAAGAAATTACACATCATGTATTCTTTTTTAAAGTAAAAAACTCCAAAATGAAAAAAAAGCTACAGCTGCTTCTTATTTAATTATTTTAATCTTGATGGCTGTGTCATATTAAATAGGAAATTAATGTCAGAAGGTCATAAGGTAGTACCCTTCTAGGTAATTGAACAAATAAAAAATGAAACTAATCTGAAACATTATTGAAATAGTATGATGAAAAAGCCTGGATAGATAGTAAGGCATTGTACTTTATAAAATACTCTTAATTTCATCATTATGATATCTTCCCTTGACTTCAGAATATTTCAGAGTCTGAAGATTTGTTTTCATATTCCGGATCAACAGATGCAAGAGAGCTTTCAGGTTTACCAGGGTGCTCATTTTTTAGTTTGATCACACTTTCTATACATTTCCTAAGGCTTCAGTATTGTAAAATCTGAGTCTTCATTCACAGAAAATCTGTGTGTAATTGGAAGAACCAAAAAGCAACCAAGCATTCATTCTCTACTGCATGAATCATTAAACACTAGCAACTCTGTCATGTGATGTAATCACTTTTTTGGGAAGGTATCTTATAATATTTGATGTACTAAACTCTTTTTAAAAATGCATCTCTTGCATGTATTAAGTATTTATGTTTTCAATTTTTTAAAGCACGATTTGACAGTATTCTAAATTGGTCATGTTAAAAATGAGTAAGCTGAATGAAGTGTTGAAATGGTTTCATGACATCAGAGATTTATTGTTCTTTGCTAAGTTTGACAGTAGAGTTTACTTTTGAAATGGTAGCTTTCTATGGTTGTGTGGGTTTCTCTGAATTGCAGGGGCATTTCTACAGCTAAAGAATTTATCATGCCTCATCATTTAAAGAGAGAATTTGTCTGCTCGCTCTGTTGACTGCACAGCTGCCACCCTCATGCAGTTGATTTTGGAGACTTTGCTAAGTCCATCTTCCAGATAGAGATGCCAGAAGTAATCTGCTTGGAAAACATAGTCAGTAATAGGTACTTTAAAAGAAAAAAATAGCATTTTGGCAGAATAGATATGAGTTTCCCTATAGCTTAGTTTCTGCATGTATTTCATAGTTACTGCTCCCTAGCAGTACAAAAACAGAAAAACAAAAGTTTTGAGCCTCTCTTAAAGTGTATTTTTGAAACCACTTTTTACGACTATTGCTGTTTAACTACTGTGAGCTTTTAAAATAAGCCAATTCTATCCAAAAGTGGTGTTACAAAGCCTTGCATCCTTGGGATTCCTGTCTTGTGTTCCTGATCCCACAGGTCCTTCCTTCCACAGGTGCCTTCATTCGGCTTCTTCTCATAGCCCTGACCCCCTTCATGTTCTCATGTCCCATCACTGGCTGCTGGCCTGGAAGGACTTGTCTTGCTGGTGACAGCCACTTGCATGACTGACAAGCCAGCTGGTCAAAGGAAGATATCACTACTTTATTTAAACTTTAGCTTTTCCTTAGTTGTAGGTAAGGAGCAAGAAATAGTCAGGAGCTTCTAAGCAAGAACTTTTTTATTTAAGCAATTACATGTGTTTCTTTGCTAAATTGAACTGGGTTTGACCTGTGGGTTCTGAGTAGGGAAGGGGAAGACCAGGAGATTGATACCATAGTTGCACAGCTCATGTTCCCTTACAGTTCTGTAGCTTTAGAGAGTCTTTCTTCATGGCTATTTTTGACTCTGGTTTGATGTGTTCAAGGCAACCAGGACAGCAGTTAGAGGAGAATTGAATCAAGTGGGAAGAGGAAAGAATCTAGTTTTCATTAGTGTTGGTGTTCTCTGTGTTTGTGTGTTCTCTAGTTTTTCAGTTCAGTGGCATGCTGAGCAGGCAGTCAGCCAAGTGCAGTTCCTGCACAAAGCATGTTTTTATATATATATATATTTATATTTATATTTTTATATATATTTTTATTATTATTTTTAATGTGAAGTGCATTAGCAGAGAAAGGATTTCTGCAAATTAGAGGAAAATTATTCTTTTGCAAAATCATAGATTCACAGGATAGTCTTAGTTGGAAGGGAGCCACAAGGATCACAGGGTCCAACTCTTTAAGTGAAAGGCCCTTAAAGGGATGGAACCCACAACCTTGGCATTAGTACCACCATGCTCTGACCAGCTGAGCCAGTTTCAGGTTAAATTTAATAATCAGTGCAGCCACAAACACTGTGGTCAGACTTCTCCTTTTGGACACAGACAATGCCAGTTTAACACACACTTTATTTGGCTTTTCCTTCGTGCAGTGGTAAGGTGATTTTTCCTATTGAGTCTGTCCCTGCAGTAAATAGAGAATTCCAAAGCCAGTAATGCTGTCATGTGGCTCAAAGATGAAGGACATGTACTCTCAAAATATATTTTATTTGGTATTGTGCTTTAGAACTTATTTGTTGGATGAGTACAGATCAAGGGAATTACATGTCACTATACACAAAGCTGCTCTCAAGAGATGAGTTTGTCATAGTATGGAAAAGAGATGTTCCTTCTAAGTAGTCAATCTCTTTCCTCTCTCGGTGCTTAGGCCTGATATTAAATTGTGGTATATGTTATTATTTGGGGTTTTGTCTGGCTTTTTGTTTGTTTGTTTATGCTGGTGCTCACTTGGTAACAGATTCATTATGGTAATTTTTATTGAGGACAGTCACAGCAAGGAGCATTTTATGTTGGTCTTCTTGCCTATTTGACTCTTTTCTAGTGCTTCTTATTCTGTAAAGCAATCTTTAAGCATTGTGCTAAAATATGTTTATGGTATAAAACACGGATTTTATTTAAATACATTCTTCCTTAAGCTAGTGTTGTTAAAGGTAAAAAAAACCATGAACCTGACTGAAATTGTTGGTTATGGCTAGAAGCTTTATGTCTGACTAACCCAGGTTTGTCTCTTAATTATTTTTGTTTTCAGAATTGGTAAAGGATTTCAAGGTGTCATGAAAAGGTGGGGATTTAAAGGTCAGCCTGCAAGCCACGGCCAGACAAAAACTCACAGACGACCTGGAGCAATATCTACCAACGTGAGGATTCTCATTTACCATTAAAACATTATTCAGTGTTTTTAGAACAGCTTACTAAAACTGAAAAAATGTACAGTAGCTGGCTGCCATGTTTACTCTGTGCTAGCAGGGAATCCCAACAGCAAGGGAAGTTCAGAAACCTGTATGAGGAGCAATGTTATTCTCTTACACCTCAATTTATGAATATTCTGTATTTCTGGTAAATGCATATATTTTAACTGAGCTAATTGGCGTATTTTGTAATATAGTGAGAGGAATAGTCTTAATACTTCAAAGAGAGTTCTAAGAAGCTTTTATCATGGCATTTATAAATTGGAAAGGATTTGCCTCTTTTATTTTATACTGCAGATATTGTACTGTTCTTTGGAACCCTAGTTCCTTTTATCGCCTTGCCTGGCATGTGTAGCTGCTTAATAAACTGATCCCCATAATTTAGTAGGGCATTATTCCCAAAAATGTGTAAGCCTCTATGCATTTCTAAGCAGAGTACAGAGTCATATTTTTACATTTCAAGCTATAAATAATACTAGTATAAAAGCTCTTTGAGCAGGTTAATTTTAGACTTTGTCTTATAAAGGCTGTACAATATTTAGACTGAATTATGAGGAATTTTTTGCAAACTAATTAAGATCAACTGAGTCATAGTACTGAACATGTACTGTCCAAAAATTTCTTAGAGAAATTAAAATATAAAAAAGGATTAATAATGCTCAAGAGAATAGTAAAAGCAAAAAGGCAACAGTCAATGAAGTTTGAGTAACTGAGAGTGTAAAAGCATGTGTTACTGATTTATAATCCTCAGTTTCAGTTGAAAAAAGAATTCTACACCTGACACTTGTTTTCACTGAAGAATGTAAATATTTGAACACTAAACACTATTTTAGCAGATGGTATTTGTCATTAAAAAAATAACCCATCTTTTCTTTAAATTAGAATTTCTTAGGCAGTAATGTTGCATGTAATTTCACAAAGTATATAGAATGAAAAGTGGTATTGGAAATAGGTATGATGGGAACAAAACAAGGTGAAAGGATGCAACAGGGCAAAAATAATGTCTTGATAGTACTGTCCCATCCATGGTTGGCTATCTCAGACAATTTTGTAATCCAGGACTGTTCAGTAGAGAGTCCTCTTCCTAGAACTGCATTGCAACTGATTTCCTAAAATCATGATTTTCACAAGAATTAAGAAAAATTCCCAAGAGACATTGTTAATGAATAACAGAGATGCAGGATACAAATCCCTTGATAACAATGTAGAATTAAAAGTTATTGTACTTATTCCTGCCTTTTTTTCCCCACCTTCGTTGTCCAGTTTATGCCCAGCCAATCAAAAATGGGGTACAGAAACTAAGGAATACTGGGTAATGGAATTAAAACTTCCATTCTCAAGAATACTTGCATTTTAAAAGATCTGATTGACATCAGTGTAAAAACTTTTTGATTAGGGAAGGAGAGAAGCTACAGTGCATGTGTGTATATATATTTATAAAAAAAATGTTGTGGTCAAATATTTCAGAACACATGTAGACTAGAACCTAACCTCTAGCAGGAGGTATTTAAAATGCTTGTCAGGATTACATTTTTTTGATATTATATATTTTCAGCCTTGGAAATACCAGCATATTTTTTTCTCTGGTGCACCTCTTGAGTTTGTAAGTGTACCTCTTGCAGTTAACATGGTGGTTTTGGCCCTGTTCTTATCTAGAAAGCTTCCAAAGTTTATCGTGGGAAGAAAATGCCTGGTAAAATGGGTAACATCTACAGGACATCTTTTGGATTAAAGGTGAGTTCTGGGTATATCTGTGTGTGTGTATAAGGTGATGGCATTGCCAAGCAGTGATGTCCTCTCTGTCATCTCTGCCAGAATCCAGACAGCAGCATCTTGAAGTAAGCAAGCTGGAAGGACCAGAGCAGCAAATGTGTTGTCTTGCTTTCTTGTGGGTTACAAATAACTTATCTAAACATCTTTTGTGTTTGTGGTACCCGGGGAACTGGGATTTCAGGTGATACTTCTATATCCAGTGTGTTTTTCACTATGTCCCTTGACTTCTGCCTTTGAAGAGGAAAAACCATCAGGCTTTTGGTGACTTCCGTTAATATCTCCATGACTATTCTGTTGTTCATACATAAACTATTCGTTGGTTCATACCCAACCCAAATCTGAGTTGTTTGAAGCTCTAACTTGATCATGGCTTTTCACTTTCATATGTGAAAAGGGAGTTGTAGTTTCTGTCCTGATTCTGATTTGTACATAGCTACAGCAGCTCCTGGGCTATTAAAACTACTCTGTCTCTCAAGGCAGCCTCTGCAGTTTGAATGAAAAGCATATTGACCTCTAGGTTGCCGAAAAGTGCAGTTGTTGTTCTCAGTTAACTACAACTAATTTTTTGTAACAGAAAATGTGTGGAGAAATTGTGTAACAGAAAAATTCAGTGGAGCACCTGATCAAGAAATTAACATATGGTCACAGAAACATTTTCATGAGGACATTTGTTTTACTTTGTCACCTGTGATGTTTTTCATGTTTTTCAACATGTTGCTGTTAGAGGGAAAAGAGACCTAGGAGCTTTGGTTTGGGTTACACTGAACAAAGAGCTGCTTTGCCAGATACAGCCCTTTAAAACTGTTTCAGCTTCTTGCATTAGGAGGGTTTTCACCCAGAGTGGCATGTGAATGAATTTTGTAGCAAGTCTAGGCCTGTGGAGAACATTTTTCTTTCCCATAGTATCACAGCCAATTACTCAGTTTGAGCTTTGCTGGACTACTGTTTATAAAACTGGTAATAGTCTCTAAACAGGACTCAGTGTCTGATTTTTTTGTTTCTGTCTCCTAGGTGTGGAGGATCAATACAAAACATGACATTATTTATGTAAATGGATCTGTTCCAGGACACACCAATTGTATGGTGAAGGTATGTTTGCTGGTTTCAATACTGGTATTAGTGACTCCTAAGCATTCTACTAATCAATTTACAAATGGAAAAACACTGGTAGGATGCAATTTTCATTTCTTCTGACAAATCTTGTACTGTTGAATTAAAGGGCAGTGGAATCAATTCTGTTAAAGAGTGTGGTCAGCAGGGGCAGTGGGCACTTTAAATTGCTCCTTCTTAGATTTGCACCCACGTACCTTATGACACACCAGCACAGTTGCTGAGCCCTGTGATAAGTGTCTCCAGGCTATGTCCATCCCCTTTGAATGCTAACATGAGCCTGTAACATGGTGGTGAGATTTCCAGATGTTACAACATTTCCAGTGTTACTTAAGTGTTGTATTAATGATCAGAGATACACAGCAAGTCCTGCTTTAGAGGTTATTTAAAGCATTCCTATAGCTGTTAGCTTTCCGAGAAGCAGTTGAGGTACAGGAAGAGACAGCTGGAGCTCACAATAAAGATCTGAGTTACCTTTGGAATCAGTATAAATGTGGCAGTAGTATTTTCTGTGGCAATCTACAGGATTAATTTCAGATTTTCTGGAGGTTATTTCAGTTTTCCATAGGCAGTCTTGAAACAATGAAGAGTCTAATAAGTGTTCTTATGATGTGAATAATTCACATCAATGTGAGAAAAGTGCTTTTTAAGGGTAGTTTTCAAAGTAGATTTTTCTTTCTAGTTAGGTATATTCTACACACCTGCAAACACCATTTACTTGGAGGAAGTTCTTTCTGACTGAATAGAGTGCAGGTTATCAGTGAAAGACTATAAAGAGTTTGGTATGCATATACCTGTGTATCTGACAGTTGTAAATCCTCAGAGGTATTGCAGGGATTTAAATGGTTCAGGACTTGCAAAGTTGAAGTGTTCATCAAATTCAGATGTTTTCAAATTGTTCATTATCTTCTATTTTACTGTGGACATCTGTTTTTTTGTCTCTTAGTTGTGGAGCAGAACTCTGCAGCTACTGGGCCTTACATACAGCAACCTTGCTTTCAAACAGGTGTTTTACCATAGAAAAATTATATTTCTCTCACTGCAAATAAGGCCTTTTTTCCTGGGCAAAGTATCTCTAAACTATTTCTGTTTCAATGTCCAGCCCAAGCCTGGGGAATGCATTACACATTTCTCTTCCAATATAGTGAAAATTGCTTAAGAGATGTCCACAAAAAGTAGTTTTCAGGACAACTTCTGCAAAATTACTGGGTGTGACATAGAATTAAGTGTAGTTTGGCTGGCTTTTCATCTGTATATTGGACTGAATTACCTTTTCTTAATTGTGTTCAAAGTATTTTTTTCTAATCCTGAGGCATGAATCTGAACTTGATTGCTCTATGTCAGTCTGAAATTTAATTAACTGGGAATTTATTTTAAGATGTTAGTTTTAAATTATAATGTATGCATGCAAACAGCATAATATAGCTGAAAAATTGAGAAATGTTTGATGCCCAGACTGTATTCTTTGATCTTAATTGTTTGCTTGAGCAAGAGTTAATTGCTGAAAAAGGTTGTGCATCTTGTTATCCTAGTCATGCTGTTAAAATCCACACTTGGTGGCAAATGCAGGTACACATCTCACATGTTTTATCTGTAAGGATGCAACATCTTATGAAGCTGCTGAGACTGAATACAGTACCTGTTTTTTACCAGATTATAACTTTCATCTAACTAGACTCAATAAACTAATTTTTATTTCTGATTTTAAGTGAGTTAAGAAAATAAACATTTATTACACACCTGTAATATAAATTGTTTTTAAAAACAAAGCTCCAGGTTCTTATGTACACCATGATCTCATTCAAACAAATCTTTCTTCCCTTGCTGATCAGACACTGCACACTCTGCTTGGAGAAGAACATACGTGGGAAGAATGAAGCTTTTCTTCTGTAGAGCTCCTTGCTTAAGATAATAGATTATATGAAAGTTGACCAAAGTGCTCCAGATTCAAACTTTCATGACATTTAATAATATATAACACTGTTTGAGATAAGGACACAGCAGTTGGTATTATTGCTATTTAGAAATAGGTTTCCAAAAATTGCTTCCAGTCTTACTTGGAGATTGAAGGCAGTATGTAGTAAGCAACATTTCATTCCAGTTCCTTGACCTGGTGGATCCGTTCTGTGGCTTTTTCCTTGCATGAGCTGTATGAATCATTACATTGATTTTTTCCCTTATTTTTTCAAATATATCTGCGAAGAGTAGAAAAGGCTTTAATTATAAAATTAGGTAAAGCAATACTATTTGGTTTCCTCTAGTTTCTGGGGATTTTTTTCTCCATTAATCTTGCTGCACACATCTGTGTGTTTTTTAGTTTGCCTTATGCCTTTCTTCAGGGATGTTTTCTTGTTTGCTTATAGACTTCGACTTCCAATATATTGTTGTATATTTGTTTGGATCTGTAGTTGGGGAGAAGAATTATGGGATATTAGTTGTTCTAATTACTGTTCACTGCACTAACTACCTGCCTGTAATTAAGTAGGAATAATATCTAGGGAATTTGAATCCATCTGTCTTTGAGCTCCAGAGTGAAATATTGCGTAATGCTTTCCTCTTTGTGTGCCTCCAAGGGGAAGGCATTTGTGTTCAGTACCCACTCTGTGTTGCTTGGTAACCATTAAAACCATAGTGCACCTTTAAAGCATATATTTATTTTGTATGTTGTATTTTTGGAAACTTTGTGCATCAGCACTGTATTCAGACAGAGACAAAGCACTTAAATTTTTTAAGTTTTGTTTTCAGCAGAATAAAATTGCAGAATACTAAGATTGATGGATTTCTGGTTTTAATTAGAATCAGCTTTCATTTGATATTGCACACTGAAGTATGCAGGTAAATAATTGACATCAGTAATGTTTCTAGCCAACTGGAAAACTAATGATAAAAAAGCTTACTTTAGCTTTTTTCACAATTGCAAGGTCTAATAAAATAAAGGAACTTCAGCAGTGTGGTGGAATGCACAGAGCTCTTCTCTTACAAGAGTAACATTGTGGAGTAAGCATTTGTAAGTTTCTGTGTTGGGTCTATTAAGATTGCCTACCTCAGGAAACACCTGTTTCTTTCTGGGGTATCTTGGATCTCAGGGTCTGTTGTTACCATCTGTAATAGCATTCTCTTTCTAAAGGTTATGGCTCTGGATTGCTCTCTCAAGTATATTACCAAGAAGTTCTCTCTTCTGTCATTTGAGAGATATGCACAAGACTTAACTCCCTTTTTAAGTAGATGCCCTATAGTGGAGGGTAATAGAGTATATTATAATTTACAATGTTATAGTTTGTCTTTGATAGTGTTTTATACCTGCCCTAATTTTAAGGCACCTGATTTTCTTAGGATATTCAGGGTTGATCACTTTGAGTATATCACTTGGAGTGAAGGCAGAAATTCTGGCAAATCTTGTAGACCATTAGAGTTGTGTGGAGGTTTGGGGGCATTTTGTTTGGTTGGGTTATTTTTTAAGACAAAATAAGGCTGGTCAGAAATGGATATAATTCTTGGGTTCAATTATATGTCTAGCTTCAAAAATAGCAGAGAAGCTGAGTTAAGTGATGTATGACACTTCAGGAGCTTATTTCTAATAATTTTCTATATTTAAACATATTTTTATGTTTACCAAATAGCTTGCATTCTTTGCTGTGGTTGCTAACACAGCCTGAAGCCCTGTTAAACTACAGATGTGAATTGTAGCTTAAGCATCAGTTTTTAATGCTTAAGACCACATTAAGCCTTTTTTGATGATAGATTTCTGAGTTTGTATTTGTTTATACTACCCATTATGCTGTCAGTATAGGGGACATACATAAGTGCAGTTTATTAATTGTGTGCAAAACCCTTTATGACTGTTCTAAGGATTTAGTGACAAAAACCCAACCAGCTCCAATTTCAGCTTTCTCTAGTATTTTTCTTAATAAAATGACCTGTCAGAGAATACACTGTAGTGGTTATACCATCATCTGTATATACCATCTATCTGTAGTATAGTCTGCTGTAATATGTAGTGCTATTAACACAGCAGTTGAGTAAGCCAAGCATTTACAATGTGAGTTACACAGCAAATGCTTTTATGGATTGCAGTAACAGCTTGGACTGTGAGCTTGATTCCTTCTGTGGATGAAATTCCACAGAATTTCCACTGGATTTTAGTAACACGGCATGAAAACTTACTCCTTTATTAAGGATGTTCTCAGAAGGTTTGTAGGAGAGCAGGAAGAGCTGTGCTGGTTCACCTGCACTTCTTTTATGTGTGCATGCTTATATAGACAAGTGTAGCTGCTGCTGCTGCACACCAGTGAACCCCTTTATATGCTGTGAAATTATTGTTCAGGAATCTGAGGTAAGAGATACAGGAAATCTTTGGTATGCTAGGCCCTTCATAAATGTAAAGGGAGTAATTAAATAATTCTCTTGAGCAGACAGATAAATCATACCATGTTTTAGTTGCTAATCAATACTTTCAGATGTAAAATGAAGTTGCGTTCTTCCTTTAAATAGGAATGATAATGATAATACCTGGTAATAGAATAATAATATCCAACTTTTTTTAATTTCAAGGAGAAAGAGTTTGATTTAGTTTGGTAGAGATGCTCTAAAATAACACTTGTTTGCTTTAAATTGCATTTGAAAGCTATGAATGTAGAAAAATATGGGAAAAGAGCAGTAGTTACACCACTCAAAAGAAATACTGCATCAATTATACCAATCAAAAGAAAGAGCGTATCAGAAGGAAACTATTTTAACATCAGAGGTGGCCTGTACTTCTGGGATATGTCAAGCCTTTGAGGAGTTTGGAAGGGACAAAATGAAACAGTGTTGTACTCCTCTGAGAGCAGCAATGGTCTGTTGAAGATGTTTCATGAGAATCTTAAAACTATTTTGAGAATTTTCCATATCACAGTGGAGATACTATGTCCAAAATGCCCCTTGGCATTTATATGTAATTCATACAATGTGAAGTCCTGACAGAAATCTTAAATTCATTTAAGTTAACTAATGCAGGACTAATATTAGACTGTTGGATTCGCCTTCAGTTAGGAGCTGATGTCTTACTGCTAAATCCTGTCATAAGAAACTGTTTTAAGAAGAAACGGAAGGAAAATAGAAGGAAAACAAGCATTTCAATTCCTTTCATTTTTTGGGTGTCCAGAACTGCCTGCAGTGACACAGCCTATATATAGCACATTCTATTTCATGATAAAAATAATCAAAAATAACAAAAACTAGACATGAAAAACATTTAAATAAGATATACATGAAATGAGTAAGTTATCATAAGTAAAATCATGTATTCTAATCTTTCTAATACTAGTACATGTAGGGATCATGGGGGTGTTTGCTGTTGGCAGAGAAATATTTTGGTGTGTAATAAGATTAGAGAGTAAAGGAGAAATTAGCAGGGGAAATAATAGAAAACCAGCGAAACAATTAAAAAGTGGTTCCATATAGTAAAAGAAACAGCCACAGCATATTGAAAGAAGGACATCTCTGAAGATGCCATCCTTCAGGTGGCATTGCTGAAGCTCTCTGACTGTTTCTTCTGAACTCACTGGTGCTGGAACTGTTTCAGGAAAGGTCTGTGGACTTGGACCCCAGCCCAGTTCATTCCATCCAGATATACAATGTAAATTGGAACCTAGGGGTCTGGCAGTTCACAAGGCCGTAGAGAACACTTCTGCAGAAGAGGAATGATCTACTTGAAAAGCTACTTAGCCATCCTAACCAGTGCAACACGTTGAGCCCCTCATCCCCTCATTAGTAAAAGATTTTCTTTTGTTTATCAAGCCTGCCCTTAAAAAATATTGGAATGTCAAATTTGTTTGACATTGATTTATTTAATGCCATCTGCAGGAATCCTCATGGACTTTGGGAAAGATTTGACTAATAGTGGATATGAATTTGGTATATACAGTGCTGTCAGAACAGAGCATTCAGTGGGCATAATTTTTTTTTATTTAATTTTTGGCATAAATCAGAATTGTCCTAAATGAAGTCTTTGTCCAACCAAGTAAGAACAAGTGTCCTGTTCTTTAAAAGCCCACCAAAAACTAAGAGGAAGAGGTTATCTTCTCTCTACTAAAATTTTGTCTAATCTATTTGCACTTTTTTTTTTTAATCCACTTTACTATAGTGCCTAAAAGGGATTCTTACAGCTCAGGAGGAAGACCATATGTAACAACATAGAAAAGAAGAATTTAATTCGAAATCAAATCTAAGAATCTGTAGCTCTTTTTTTTTTTTAATTCAGAGATACCAGCCTTCTATCTGCTACTGCAGACAAACTGCTTTTTGCTGATAATTCTAGCTTCTAATTTTCTTCAGATATTGGAGTTTCAGGGGCTAGATTTTAAATCTTTCCACATGTAGAGAGGTCAGTAAAGGAATTTCTCTGTGGCTCCACAGTTCTTGAAAATGAACTGTCTTAGATGCTCGCCTCTATCAAACTTAGGTACTGATTTCTGAGTGAAGAATTTTAGATGTTTAACTCTGCAGTCACTGAACAGCTCTGCAATAGCCGGAGGGATTTGATACAGTACCTGAACATATCTTTGCAAAATTAGTTGCCATAATTAGTTTGCATCACAGATACAAGCACGTATCTTTGTTTGTTGTAGAGGTGATTACACTGCATAATATAACTTGGAATGTCATGTAGGAGCATACTGTGGGAAGTAAGCACTGTTAAAAAAGGCTATAATTCTATGCCCCTTATATTAATAACATTTTAAAATATTGAGCAATGAATTCATGAGTGGGTTTTGGATTCACTGTAATGACAAATTCTAGGGTTTTGTTTTTGGGGTTTTTTTTGTTTAATTTTGCTGATTTTTAAAATCTCTTTAAGGATGAGTACAAAAGGTTAAATTCAATAGCTGGGGTTGATGTTAAAGTACCTGATGATTATACCTGGAATTCTTTAAACAAGCGCAATGTGAATGCTGTTAGGTTTTTCTCATGCATGCAAGCTGAGTTCTTTAAATTCTAGTGTATCACTGTCTGAAAATCTTCTGTAAGATTTATTAACCGTATTCTCCCCCTCCTGCTTTTCAGGTCAGAGATAGCAAATTGCCTACTTACAAGGACTGCAATAAAAACCCTCCATTCCCTACGTTTTTTGCTGATGGAGATGAAGAACTGCCAGAAGACCTTTTTGATGAGGAGATTTTCCAGTTCACAGATCCATCTGTCACATTCGCATAATGTTCCTTGCATCTTTGAAAACACAGTTTTGTTCTTTTCATGTACATTGCAGTGCTGTATAAAAGCAAGCCGATGAATTGCAGTCTGGCCAACTGACTTAAACACTTCAGGTATTGTTATTTTGGTCAGGTAATCAGATTTCCCACTGTCAGTCTCAAACCTGTACTTAAAGCAACAGGTGAGTCTGAGGGACAGGTCGTAAAGCACACCAAACTCTGAGTCTCCAATGACCTCTTGTCTTCTGCCTCAGGCTGTGAAAACCTACACAATCCTGAAAAACTGTTGTTTTGAAGATGGTTCCAGTTCATTTTCTGAATGTGAACAAATTCTGTTTCTCTTTTATATGAAGTATACTGGGCAAATCTTATCAATCAGAAAAAGATTCCAAATTTGCCTTGGCATCTGAGGTGGGGGGGGAATCCATGAATAGTAATCCAAAATAAAACAAGAAAATGTATGACCACTGTTTTGCAGAATGAGCTTGTTTTGCTTCCTTCTTTTATCCAGAGCTCTTTCTCTCCTTTTGCCTTTGTATTGTTTAATGTTAAAGCAGATATCCAACAGATTTGTAGTGGATTCTTATGCTGTTACAGGAGAGCTATTTCAAAGAAAAGAGGCCAAATGTGAGGGATTTGTCTTTATGATAGTGCTCATTTTTCTATTCTACCCCATCTTTCAATAGTATCTGGGATCATGCCCCTTCTACTTTTCATTTTGCATGATTTATTATTTATAAGTTTGATCTTTTGGATTCTGTAAATCCTCTCACATACAGAAGTACTTTCGTAACTGTCAGTGCTGGCTGAGCACTTTACTCACAAGCCCTGCAGTAGTTCAAGAATTTGCATACACTGTTAAATTAATACCCTGGCAGTGCTGTCTGCTCATCTTTGCAGCTTCATCCCAGGCTGTGAACTCCAAGGAAGCCACACGTTTATGGAAGTACATTAAGGTGAATTCTGTATCAGATAATATTTCAGTGTGGGGAAAATCAACAAAGTACTTCAATTCCTGTTTCTTTGGTAAGAGAACTTTTCCTGGCATAAAAAGTGAAATTCCAATGATCTGATCATGTTGCTCTAGGGAATGACTGCAGCCAGGGAATGCTGTAGTTAATGTTGTTTTCCATTTGTTCGGTTTTAAAGTTTCCATTGAAGCCAATATTCTGTCAGAATAATCACTGTAGTTTTGATTTTGAAATGTATGCTGGGTGTGAGCTGTATGATTTTTTGAGGTGCTGTTTTATTCAGGTTCCATTTTTACTGAGATGTGCAGGTGAAACCTTTTCCATCTTCATCAAGAGTGGTTGGACATCAAAGACAAGAGCTTTCATAGGTCAACTGCAGACTGATGTCCCACAGTATTTTCTGTAGAGCAGATGGCAGGGTGAGATGGGTAAGATCTGCTGATGTGAGCTCAGACTAGTGCAACTCAGATTGGAACATAAACATCCATTAGATCCATTCTTCCATCAGGCATTGGAAGGCTTATGGTGTTTTAATTTTCCTTATTGTTTCTATCTCTGTTTTCTGCTCTTCTGAGTAAAGAGGGGACTTTGAGCAGGAGAAAGCCAGGCTGAATTTATTTCTAGGAGCAAAATTGTTCCTAAGTATAATGACACCAAATGCTTTAAGCTCACCTACGAGTTTGTTTTTAGAAAAGGCTAAGGATATTTAATGAACTACTTTTAGACATTGTCAAAGGTGTTGGACCTGAATATTTATTCTTTGATGTGGCCAAGGTTGTGGCTAATTGAGAAATGCTTTTAAGCTTCAAATAAGACAAAATTAGGCAAATATCAAGTCCTCGTGTCTCAGGTGAGCCAACAGTTTCTTATGTGAAAGGATGTGTTAATTTTTGTGAAAAGGCAGACCAAGAGCTCTGTTGCAAGTAGATGTGTCTGTGTTTTGTTAATGTGTCTGAGTAATGACAGTTTAGAGCCATCAGGCAACATTTGCTCAGGCAAACAATAGCAGCAACAAAAATAAATTATTTTTCTATATTACCTGTAGTTATTAAAGAAGAGGGAAGTGACCTTATCACTCTATACAACTTCCTAAAAGGTGGTTGTAGGCAGGTGAGAGTTGGTCTCTTCCTCCAGGCAGCAGCTGACAGAATGAGAGGACACAGTCTCAGGCTGTGCCAAGGGAAATATAGGTTGGATATTAGGAAAAAGTTTTTTACACAAAGAGTGATGAAGTGTTGGAATTGTCTGCCCAGGGAGGTGGTGGAGTCACCATTCCTGGATGTGTTTAAAAAAAGGTTGGATGTGGCACTCGGTGCCGTGGTTTAGTTGAGGTGTTGGGGCATGGGTTGGACTCAATGATCTTGGAGGTCTCATCCAACCTAGTCACTGTGAATTCTGTGAACATGTTACCAGGAATCTGGGTTCTGTAGGACAGCATCCTACCCAGTGTTGGGAGCTGTTATGCTGCCCAAGGAAGTAATTGCTGGCAAGCTCTGCTACCAGTGCTGTAACTTGTGAAGGTTGCTACAAGCTCTCCCCCGACTTCTCCTCTCCAGGCTGAACAACCCCAACTCTCCCAGCCTGTCTTCATAGGGGAGCAGCTCCAGCATCTGATCACCTTTGTGGCCTTTTTCTGGAGTCACTCTATTAACTAATTCCATGCCCTTGTGCTGTGGGTGAGGCATTGATCTGGGGTTTGCATGTCCAGGAGCTCATTAACCCTCTTCTTAAGCTGTTGTGTTTGTTCGGGTTAGTGGGGTGTTTTTAACATCAGGAGCATGCTGCTCTGGAGGAGGATGTAGGGTTAAGCTTTAGCTGTATCTGTGGCTTCATGGCGTGACTGCTTTGAAAAATAAACACTATTCAATAATAACCCCTCTCAGTGGTTCTGTAATAGTACGTGAATAAACAGTGTCAAGTTTACAATGTAAGTTGAAGGTAGAAAGACAGCAGGAAAAGGAAATCAAAACACTCGTGTATCACTTGACAACATAATTGCAGCCATTGATGATAAACAAGGAGAGTTTATTTCTCTTGAAATACCATACTTTCAAATACCAATGCTCTGTCATTATGTGAGACCGATAAACATTTTCGTTTGCTATTTCCACTTCGTGCAGAAAAATGTAGTTTTCTCTGTTAGCATTTAACAAATATTATTCTAGTGAACTGAAGGGGTGACAATAGCTTATGTGTAAAATTCCACCCTCCTTACTGTTTCCTTGCTGAATTCCAGAAGTCCTGTAGGACTCCCATGATCCTAGAGGCCTTTGCCAACCTTGAAGACTGATTGAAAGAAAAGAAAACTGATTAGGATGTAAAGTGTGAGGGGGCTGATGTGCATAACCCAAACCCCAGTCAGAGGCTTCCCACTGGCAGCCCGCTGCTCCCCTGGAATGCAAAGGTGAATACTATTCAAAGGAAGTTGCTGGCCCCATCCTAAGGTGCTGCATAAAATCTAGTAATTCAGTAACCACAGTGAGGACAGTGGTGGGATTCATTAATTTTAGGATTGTTGTGTCTGTAGCTATGGCTTGGGTCATTCTTCTGATTGATGTCATTCCTCCCCTCCTCCTTGAGACTTTGCATGAGAATGCCTCGGTTTTGTAACTGTAAACATTATTTGTACACAGTGTCTTCCAATAATTAGCTTCTCTGCCCTTCAGTGCACAAGTAGTGCTTATTAATTGCACTTAATGAGCATCTCTCACCGGCAGCAAATTGCCCTGCTCTGTTGCACACCTTAGCATGTAGCATAGCTTAGTATGATTTATTTATATAACACGCTTGAAGGCACTTAACAGCTGTAAGAACATGCAGGAATGCTGACCTTGGGTGTTTATTGGTTTTGGAGACAGCATGCAGTTTCTGGAGGAGGAATTTAAGTTAATTACATGTAGCCTTAATGTTATCACACCAGAAAAAGAATTCATTTCAATGGGTGCAGCTCTGCTGTGTCTGAAGTGTGGCAGCAAAACAGACAGATGGCAGTTTTTCCTGAGGAATGTGCACAGCCAAGTTTTGGTGTCGAGTAGGAAGGAGGTACCTCAGGACTAGTAGTCTCCAAATTAATGCAGCCTTCTGACTTCTTCCTCATTAAGTGCCCAAAAAACATGTGGGATGCAAACTGTAGAAAACTCACGCTGCTCCAGTCCCCTGCCCTTCTGTCAGTGTATCTTTCTTGCATCTCTCCCCTCATTTCACTGAAGTATATGCATGGTAAGTGGGAATATGGAATTGGAGTGGGCATCATGAAAGATTTCCAGCAGCATCAATGTCCACAATAATGTGCTAGTCCTCCCTCATTCCAATAAGGTATTACATCTGGGGTCCCACCTTTAAGCATGGTTGATACAGCCTAGAATTATTTCTGTTGGAATACCAAAGACCTGAGCTGTGGTCTTGCTTTTCCATCTAAGTGGCACCCACTGCCCATGAGTTGAAATCACTGCTTGGGAAGAATTCCATCTGGGGGTTAAATTTGTATTCACTGTCATGCCAGTAACTTTGAACACTACCACAGAACCCAGAAGAGAAAGTCAGCTGGGAAAATGAGTGCAGTTTTTAGTGTGAACACAGAAAATGGCTTGAATTATTTGCTGTAATGTAATGAGTATATGCTGGAGATTTAGCCCTCTGTGCTGTGGTGCTTCCTGCTGCTTCTCAAATTCCTGTGTGTAAAATCTGGCATCAGATCAGATGTACATATCAAAGTCAAATTGTGCACAAATCCAGATTTGGGGTTTTGGAAGAAGCAGGATTGCAAAGGGGGGATGTTAACAAAACATTGATTTAAACCAATTTTGTATCAATCAAGTTGTACTGTATAATTTGCTTTACATTTCTCTGGGTGACACAGTCTTCCAGTCAGCTAAGTATTCATTTGTCTGTTTTCATCTCCCCACTTCTGTTCTAAGTAGTAGAAAACCTTTAAAAACGTGGATTTTTTCAGGCACTCAAAACCTTGAAGGTCCCTTGGCAACCTGATGCTCTATTGAAAAGCAGAATGACTCATAATTCACAGGCAAGAGTCATTTATACGTTTCTTTTTTAATTTCTAAAAGATCAAGATGAAAGATCAAGATTGCTGAATCAGAGTCGTTTCTGCACGTGGCCTCTCTTGAAGTGATGTTCCACAAATTCCCACCATATCCTGGTGGGAATACCAATATTTTGTTGGTCCATGCAACAGTGAGCTTCCGGCACAAATTACAGTTTTGACGCCTCAGTCCTGCTCAATATAGATCCACACAGCACCACACAAAATACACATAAAAGTTTGGCAGTGGGCAATGAGAGATTTACTACATGGTACATATTTCAAGATCATGGTTCCTTTCTCTGTGGCAAGCCAGAAAGGCATTTTTGTCCACTGGTTTGTTTCAAATTGCACCACCTCTTCCCAAAGGGAGATTTTTCTCTGGAGTTACCATGTTCTTCCTTAGGCAAGCTTGAAATTTTCCTTTATTGGAACATTTCCTTTATTTTAGAGCTGCATATGAGAAATAGCTT